GAGCGCCGGGCTGCCCTCGACCAGGTGGCCGCCCTGGAGAGGAGCCTGCAGGCCACTGAGAGTGAGCTCCGGGCCAGCCAGGTAGGCAGGGCTGAGGGCCAGTGGGATGAGGGGAGGATCTGCTGTCTGAATAGGTGTTTGTAAGTCCTACTGTGTGCATGCATCTCTGTTTCTGCCTGGTCTCAGCACCCATTGAAGTGACAGTACTAGGGACCTCTGTTCCCTTCGTCTCTGTCGAGCCACATGAGTGGCGTTCTGGGGGTTTTATGTGTTTGCTGGGCATCTGTATGTGGGGGGCGGGGAACGGGGGGTGGGGGGCAGGGTGCACAGGCCCTGATGGTGACAGTCCAAGCTGCCAAGGACCTGAGACCTTAGCACAGCCATGGATCTGGATCCCCTCTGTTTCTTCCTCCCCCCTTTCCTCCCCGGCCCTCCATTACTGCCCCCGCAGCCCACCCTCTGCCTCTGGCTCTAGGCCCAGCTTGAGCTGGGTTGTTGTGTCTGCGGCTCCAGCGCTGGCCTTGGGCCCAGCCACAGGGGCCGCGGGAGGAGGCCAGGAACAAAGCTGGGCAGGAGCCAGCGTGGGGCTGCCGGGTGTAGACCTGGCAGGATTGGGGCTCTGAGCAGGGCGGGAGAGGGGCCAGGCCTGGCGGGGGGTGTGTGTGTTGGGGGGGTGGTTGTAAGAACACCCCCTTGACCTGCCCTGTCTCCAGGACGGTGACAGGGATGGAAGGACCCCAGTCTGTCTTCCTGACCTGTCCCCACACCCCAAGTCTCCTTCACAGTCTGAACTCACTTGCGGGGAGGAGCATTATACCCTAAAACCTGCGGGGCCCAGGGCTCCTGCCTGACTCAACTCAGGTCACACTTGCAGCTTCTGGGCTGCTCCCCACTTTCTCCAGGGGGTCCTGAGGGATGTGGCAGGGGTGGGCTGGACAGCTGGGCCTGAGCCCTCCCCCACCCACAGGAGAAGATCAGCAAGATGAAGGCCAATGAGGGGAAGCTGGAGAGTGACAAGCGGCGCCTGAAGGAGGTGCTGGACGCCTCCGAGAGCCGCACCATCAAGCTCGAGCTGCAGCGGCGCTCGCTCGAGGGGGAACTGCAGCGCAGCCGCCTGGGCCTGAGCGACCGGGAGGCCCAGGCCCAGGCCCTCCAGGAGCGGGTGGACTCCCTGCAGAGACAGGTGGGTCCCCTCCCCCATCGCAGGCCCAGTGCCAAGTGCTATACAGGGACTGTGTAATCCTCCCTGTGAGATAGTATCATCCCTGTTTCATGGATGGATGAATAGAGGTTCAGGAAGTGATGTCATCGCCCAAGATCATGTAGATATAAGAGGCAGAGCCCACATTAGAATTTAGGACTGGCTGATGGCAGAATCTGCACTCATGGGAAGCATGCTGGAGAAGTTGGAGAAGTAGACTTCACTCATTTCCTATTTTTCCCTGGCTGCCAGGAAGCTCATCTCTAACCGGACTGCTCAGTAATTCTGTCAGCCCTGCACAATCCCCCACCAAAGTCAAGAACACAGAAATTCCAGGGTTGTGGGAGATACTGTTCATTCTCGTTAGCAGGGAGGAGAGGGGGATGAGAACGGAGAGGAGACCATGGCGTCAGACAATCGGGTTGATGGTGCTGTGGGTGGGGGTAGTGACCCGCAGTGGGACGGACCTCGGTGCGAGTAGGCTGAGCCAGTCGGCATGCATGGGAACAGTGAGCATCTGTGATGAAGGCCTAGAGAGAGGGGAAGGGTTTGGCTTGGGTGGGACCTTTCTTGTGGAGGCCATTTTCCCACCCTGTCGCTCCTGCCAGGTGGCAGACAGCGAGGTGAAGGCAGGGACTCTGCAGCTGACAGTGGAGCGGCTGAACGGGGCCCTGGCCAAGGTGGAGGAGAGCGAGGGGGCCCTGCGTGACAAGGTGAAGGGCCTGTCGGAGGCCCTGGCCCAGAGCAGCGCCAGCCTCAGCAGCACCCAGGACAAGAATCTGCAACTGCAGAAGGGCCTGACGGCCTGCGAACATGACCGCCAAGTGCTCCAGGTACAGATGGACTCCAGGATCTGGCTGGGATGGGCCCAGCAAGAGAGTTAGTTAGCCAATAGACAGGCTTGGAGGGGTCTGGTAGAGAGCCAGCCAATGAGGCAGTCAGTTGGGAACCTTAAGGAGCCAATCAATGAGAGGGTGGGGTGGGCTTAATAAGAGCATCAGTCAGTAAGAGGAGGCTCTGCTGGGTGTGTGTGTGTTGCGGGGGGCGGGGGTGGCAATAAGAGAACAGCCGACTAGCACCCGCTTTGAGGGACTTAGGTGCAGGGGTAGTGGGCGACAGATGGGTTCTGGGAGGGTCCTGGTCTTCTATAGCTCAGTGTAGGCTGTGGGCCAGTCCCGCTGTCTGGCTCACCCTCCAGGTGAGATGACACCTCTTTTATGGGCTGTGAAACTGGCCTAAGATACCGAGTAGAGGGTGTGCCCAGCCTGGCACCAGCAGCCCCTGTCCCCCAGGAACGGCTGGAGGCTGCTCGACAGGCGCTGTCCGAGGCCCGGAAGCAAAGTGGCGGCCTAGCTGAGCAGGTGCAGACGATGCGGGGCGAGATGGCGGACCTGGAGCTGCAGCGGGAGGAGGCTGAGGGCCAGTTACAACAGCTGCGGGAGGTGAGGGCCAGGGGGACCCCTTCTGTCGCCAGGATGCTGAGGCCCTAAGGATGAGGTGGGGACCTTCCCACCTACCTTAACCTCATCCCAAACACAGGCCCAGTCCCCTGGGAGGAGGAACCCCCCATAATCCACAAGCCAGGGATGAAGCATGGTACCCCCATTATAGAGATGGAGAAACTGAGGCCCGAGAGGAGAGCTGTCTGGCCTCCGGAGACAGTTTCCTGGTGCGGGCCTCACAGCCGCCCTGCCGAGTTATTGGGCATGGCAGACTGGCATTGCCCTCCCCGGGCTTCAGACGCACTCACTGAGGCCCAGAGGAATGAGGGGCTTGCTGCTCCTGTTGCAGGTGCTGCGGCAGCGGCAGGAGGCTGAGGCTGTGGCCCTGCACACGGTCCAGAAGCTGCAGGACGAGCGGCGGCGGCTGCAGGAGCGCCTGGGCGG